GAAAGAACGCACTCTAAATGCGCACGCGCACTAATCTAACCTAATAGACTTCACGTCATGTATGCGTGCACTCTCTGTAGGTGTGTTTTGTTTGGATTTTGCAATATACTTGATCATGTATGGCGTTATTTTAATGACAAATGTCGAGATCGCATTATTGTAGCGCGAAAGCACAATAATGTAATGCGCAAGTGCGAATCTCTCTGCTCGCACGCGGATTTCCTTTTCTCTCACACAAAACCTGACGCGCGCGCTCAGATACACAAAAGTTGTCAAAAGTTATCATTGTGCACTTTAAAAAAAATGTCTCAAAGCAGATTTGTTCACTAAAGGCCTTTCCTTGTTTTTTTTTTATTGTTGTATTTTTGTTTTAACATAAACTGGTTATTGCACTTTGTTTTACTACTTTATCTCTTTTATGTTTGTATTTGTATTTTCATTTCTGTGAATGCACATATGCATCATACTGTAAAATATTTGGTAAACACTTTTAAAAGGCGCTATATAAATAAAGCTTTAAACAATAAGACCTCCACAACTGAACGATGAAAATACTATGTGAAATCTAATTGGCTGAGAGGGAACAGAACCTGGAATTCTTTTGACAATCAAAGATGGATCTTTAATTTATTTCCAGTTTAATAATATTTAGCAATGTTAATGAAATGTGGCCTATATTAGAAATCTAGGAATTGGGTGCTTGGATGATTTGTACATATAAATAACCTCTGTCTAACTGGTTGGTCTGAGCAATTTATCTAAAAACAACATATTATATGGCTCTAAAGACTTCATATAAAAGATCAATGTTATGTCATAATATGTCAGATACCTCAACTGAATTTAAAATCATTGCAATAAATTCTCAGTTGGTATAATGGAAATAGTAACAATTCCTATCAAATCAACATCAAATGCAAAAATAGACGTAAATGATGCAAGATATAACACAATAAATGTTCTGATAGAATCACTGTTTGGAAATGTATTGGGAGTTTTGTTTTTTTTAATCCAGTGTTTGTTTTCAGTTCTGATTTTAGTTCGATTTTTTTTCTTGAAAACCCACTTTATATTAGCTACACATTCAATGGCACTCTCAAAAAGTGAATATACAGAAAATATACAAAAAGTGAATGACAGTTACATGTAATTACATTGTCTGCAAATGCATTAAACCCATAGAATATAATGTAGTAATGTTATGACAAATATGGGAAATTCATTATAGTGTTATATTTGGTCTCCACATCTTAAGTATAGGGAATAGTGCATCTGACCCTTATCTAAATCTGTCCTTAATCAGAAGATTATTATTTATTTATTTAATATTTATTTATTTCAATCCAAGTGCACAATAGGCTATATGACAACATGAAACTGTTAAACTAGGTTATTTACAAATAATCCAAGCACCCGATTCATTTCTAATATTTGATTATTATGATTTAGTAGTATTAAATTATAAAGAAATTACAAGATCCATCTTTGAAATCTGATTGCTTGATAACATTTGACAACGTTTAATTCAGGTGCGAAAAGAATTAATATCTAGCGCAGGAGCACAGAGAGATTTGCGAGTGCACAGGACAGTTTGAGTGAGAGAGACACGTTTTATCTGAGCGCGGGTGTTCGGTTTTGTGTGAGAGCAAAGGAAATCCGTGTGCAACGAGAGGGGAGATTCGCGCTCGCGCATTATATTAATGTGCTTTCGCGCTACAAGAATGCGCTCTCGACATTTGTCATTAAAATAACGCCATAACTGCCATCATCCACAGTTCAGATGTTCTGAATCATTTCACCTGCATGATGTAGTCTCCAGGTCTGACATCAGTGATGTCTATCCACTGGCAGTCGATATCGTGGCGGTAAGTGTCCCAGCAACCCAACGAAATGCCTTGATCTCCGTAATTGTAACATGAAAAGCGCTTCTGAAGTCCTGAAGAAGAAAAAAAACAGTTATGTGTAGTTGCAGTAGTAAACCTATGGAAGCTTGTTTCTACCACTAAATAAAACATTTAAAAAGGTAACTGTGACTTTTGAGCTCACAATTCTGACTTTTTTTCTCGCAATTGTGATTTACACCTTGCAATTCTGAATTGTTTTCTCAGAATTGCATGATATAAACTCGCAATTCTGATTTTTTCTCCTAATTGCGAGTTTATACCTGGCAATTTTGACTTTTTCTCACAATTGCAATTTTATATCTCACAATTCTGACTTCTTTTCTCAGAATTGTGAGATATACACAATTAGTCTTTTACCATCAGGGCAGTAGGTGTCTTCCAGACAGAAACTGGCTTTGTGTCCTTCGGCCACTCGGCTTCCGTTGAGTGTGAGGAGGTCATAATGTGTGAACACTTCAATGCTGTGATAATGCCTGAATCAAACATATTCATATCAATGAATGTCAGCAGAATCAGAATAATTCAGTGGTGATTACCAAGACAAAAATCATTAATACTATTCCTCATAGTTTTTTTTTTTACAACAATAATCCCATTTAAATCTATAAACAAGTTAGGTCAAAAGTAAGGCGTACACAATATTAGATTTTTGCCGATATCCGATATTTTCCAAATCTTTTTGGCCGATAGCCGATATATATTTCCGTTTGTTTTGAAACAACACCAAGTCTCTCTCGTGCAGAAATTTTAAACAAATTGTTTTTAATTATGGTTGATATTTTTATTTATTTTTTACTAAAACTTATTTGTTAGAGCTAATAAACATTATTAAAGTTATTATTTAATGAGAATACATTGTATATAAATTTTCATAATCCATTTGAAAAAATATTTTACATATTAATGAATAAATGTATATATTAAATTATTTAATTTACAAGTGTTTGTGATTTTTGTTCATGTAAACTATAGGTTCTGGCCTGTAAATCAAAACAGACTCATGATTTTATGAAACATAAGTATCTTAATGATATTTGTGCATTTTACATTATTACAAGTAGGTCAACAGCGCCCCCTAAGTAAATAAAACGCCTTGAGGACGGGGATTAGGACCAGGGGGAAGCTGCTGCTGCTGCTGCTGCACGTGCTAGTGACTGTTGACTCTATCGCACATCGGAGGCGTCGTTCTGTACGTGCATTCTCAAATCAAATGCGGCGATCCAAAACAGTGAATCATTCAGGCAAAAGTTCCTTCAAGAATGATCACACTGCTGACGTGATCTTATCACAATCACACCCTGAGCATAAGTGAGCTATCCGTCTTATCGGCAAAGCATATCGGCATAATTTTAAGCCATTATCGGCCGATTCCGATAATATCGTGCATCCCTACAAGTAAACTAAAAGTAATCCAAAAGCAGTCAGAATACATTACCTAAACGGAGTAATCTAGATTACGTTACAGACTACAATTCTCATCATCTAATTTGTAATCAGTTACCTAATAATTAATCAACACAGCACTACTGGGAACCACCCACAACACCCTAGAGTAATGGCAGCAGTTTTGCTGATTTTTTCCAGAATGTGTAAAAATCTTACATTTCATGCTGGCTAGTGAACATGGGAAGAACAAAGGTTCACTATGGACCACTGCCTAATGACCTCACTGCTCCTACATGAAGGTGTTGGCCGCTACGGCAACACCCTTTACAGGAAGTTGTTGTTATGCTGACGGGGCTGTTTATTCAGCTCGTCTGAATAGATGGCTTTCAAATGCCAACTTCACTGGTGTTGTTTTAAAAGATTAATAAAATAGGTTTGGCCTGCGAACACGCGAAGCCCACAACTCCTCCACAACAGAGCGCCTTGTTCCCACAGAATGGGTTTGCAATTATTTTCAGAACACATAATGTAAAGGGAGTGGAGGTGCTCGACGCAGCTAATTAATCTGAAAGATGCCGGCAAGCTTGCTGACCACCCATGACCTGTTTTAGAAAGAAGTGTACGATCTTTTCATTGCAAGCTGAAATGACTGACTAAACTGAAAGGAAATGTAACCACAAATACTCTTCTAGAAAATAGAGTGTCATACGTCAGGGTTATTCCTGAATTATTTAAATCCATGTGCTGTCTCCATTATTTAAGTACCTTATTTATTAAAAGAATACATGCAAAAGCTGATCCTGAGTGTTACAGTTACGGAGGATGCAGCAGACTACTATGATCTGGTGTACTGAATATGCACTTGACTAAACTCCATGTCTGCATATATACGAAAATAATAATAAAAAAAATAAATTTAATATTTTTTTAATTTAAATAAATAAATATGAAAGAAAAAGTAAAAAATTATAATATTATAAAAATATTAAAAACAATACAAGATAATAATAATAATAACCTGAATGGCCTCGCTTTACAAGGCACTTGTGCACTTTACTACAACGTATGTCTGGATATATATAAAAATAATAACACAAATATTAATTAAAAAGTTATTTTAAAATTGATGCAAATGAATAAATAGAAAAGAAAAAAACAAGAAATTATAATATTATTAAATATAAAAAACAACAACATCAATAATAATAATAATAATAATAATAATAATAATAATAATAACCTGAATTGTGTGTTTAAAATTATGAAAGCTACACCCAATGTCTGGATTTATATAAAAATAATCATAAACATAAAAAGTAATTTAAAAATGGATTTAATTGAATAAACAGGAAAGAAAAAAGGAATACATATATACAGTGGGTACGGAAAGTATTCAGACCCCTATATATATATATATATATATATATATATATATACATATATATATAATACTAGTAACTACTACAACAACAATAATATTTTAACAATAACAATTTAAGTACTCACTGCACAGCACTATTTGAGTTCATTGAGCACCTATAGTTAAACTAGATTTCAGGTAGCCAGTGGTAGCCAGTGAATAAGATGCAGGTTTTGCACCAAAACATCATGAATTCATTGTGGAATGACTATTTTTTCTATTTTGCAGGTTCTTTTATGCATCATGCACTATACAAGGGGAACTTTTTATAAAATAAGATAACAATATTTTTCTAGCGGCACTCAGGCTTCTGTTTCATTCTGTATAAACGTTAAAACTGAAGGAAGAAGCAAATCCCGGCCTCACCTGTGGCACTGGTGCCAGGTCCAGGACTCTCTTGAGGCACGTGGACGAAAGTCGGCTCTGCCCAAGTTCATGATACGGGAGGAGAAACGCAGAAGGCGGCGGTGCCCATACGGCCACTGCATGCGGTTGGCAGAGGAGGAGAGACAGTTCTCCTCATGCGCACAGGTGAGCAGGTGCAGAGGCCTGTCTTCTAGGTAAGCACTCTCCTGCACGAGCTGCGCATCCAAAACCAGGTCAGGTGCCGCTAAAACAGGATGATTTATTCATTTGGATCATTCAGTGCATGATATGCATCAGATTACACACTATGCACTTATTCTAAGCACTATGTACTCCACCATCTAGTGTATGAGTTATATAAGGCTATTTTGTCACCCAACATTGGAGTCTGTTAGCCTCTCCCCCTCCGCTACATAATTAAAGCTGCAGCAGTTGAGTGCATAAAGTGTTGAACATTCCACACTTTTTTTTTTGGTTAATTAAGTGCAGCATCGGGGCATTTGAAGTGCACTTATTCTTCTTTCTTTTTGTAATTTTCAGTGTGAACACACTAGTCATCACTTACTTTCGGAACAGGTGACGCCTGCTGCTTTAGCTCCGCCTCCTCGAGGGCAGTGGACGTAACTGTTACGACGGCACTGCTGGATGGACATTTCTGTTCCCACACAGTGAGACCCACTCAACAGCACTTCTTCAGCTGCAGGGTCTCCTTGCCAATAATATGTGTCCTAAATGCAAAAAGGTTATTTGTCTGTATATGAAATGTTATGCATGAGTCATATAGATTTTAAGAATAAGGCATTTTACCTAAAATACTTTTGGAAAATTCATTGGCCCTCTAGTTTCTAGTGGTACTTCAATATTTAAATTACACTGAATTTTTAATGAATTCACAGAATTAAACAGACTTTGTACAAAATATATATTTCAAAATATAATACATGTTGTATTGAATGCAAAGCACAAAAAACAATGGATGATTTTTTTTTTCACAAAAAGTTAACAAGAATTTGAATAAAATTAAACTTAATTGTTATGAAAATAAACAGACTTCTTTATCAAAAGTATAATTTATTCATTTATTTATTTATTTGTTTATTTATTGTATTTTTATGTAATACTATGCATGAGATTTAATGTATAGATTTTATGAATAGGGTAGTTACAGGACAATAAATCCTTTTGAGAAGCTGGCTTGCCCTCTAGTTTCAAATGTTATAATGTGAATAATCTAATTTATGGGTCCAGAGCTAAAATAAATATAACCAGAACAAATATAATATAAAATAATGGGGGGGGGGGCTGGCATTGTGACAATATTTTTATGACAATAAAGCACATTAATTGTCCAGTTCTCATCACATATTGGGGGGTGGTGTTCATTTTTATAATCATAATGTGAAAAACAATAATATTTAAATTCTACTGAATTCACATTTAATACAGAATTTTAAAGGACAGAGAAAAACAGCGAGACAGATTGGATGATTTTCACTCAGTTTTTAATGCTATTTTTTTCCACATTAAATTGAATGAAAATTGGGATAAAATTAAATGCTGAAAATAGGTTTAATTTTCTTTATGAAATGTATGATTTATTATTTCTTTATGAGATTTACCTCATAAGCAGTACAGTACAGTACTGCACATGTGGTAGAGAGACAGTATTAAGGTAAGCAATGTGCCCTGAAAGTATAACTGTCTTGATTCCTGTTCTTAACTATTGCTCAAAACAGATGAATTATGTGCAGGACGCATACCAAATGTACCTGCCATTCTGTCTGAAAATACACAGTTTACCATTAACCTGTCCCACCTCTTCACCTCCACAAAACAACTACTGTATAACACTAATGTTGCCCAGAAATATCCTGCCCTGTTCCCCTAAACATGCACAGGAAGCTCTCAAATGCACACAAACCGAGGCAAACAAGACAAGAGACATATTGAGAGCGATATTACTGGAAAACACAACATTCTTCAGCAGTCTCACCTGATGGGCCCGTGCGGCGAAACCAAAGCCCAGCTGCCTGCATACCACCATGGCTTCATTTATTCCCCAGTTCTCACTGCAAATCGTGCCCCAGCGCTTTCTGCCCCCCACCTCCATGAGCACCTCTACACGACCCTCAGCCGGGTCCCTGCCGCCCGCCAACCGCACCTGAAACACAAACAGGCTCACAGACATCAAAACTACACATACAGTGCCCTCAAGGAGTATTTGAACACTTTTGGACACTTAACTCACATTTAAAAATGTCAAAATGTCATGGCATATGCTAGAGATTTTCTCAGAACTAACTTCACTCTTATTTTAAATAAATGACATATCATGCATTATATTATGTAAAGACAAAGCGTGAATATTTAAAATAAAATGTTTTTGGGTTATATAATGCCTTATGACATTTAAGTTTGTATATTTATTTAAAATAAATGTCATTTAATGCAAAAATTAATAATTGCTATATAATGCAAAGATATTCAAGTCTGTATATTTATTTTAAATAAATGCATTTAATGTAAAACATTAAATTGTGTATATTTAAAACATGATATAATATATGAAATATAATAATGGCCACACAATGCATTATACACTGCAAATACATTTTAGGTCTGTACATTTATTTTAATGAAACGTCATTCAATGCAAAAACATTTATTTGTGCATATATACAATAACTGCTATATAATGCATTACATAAATGCAAAGACCTTTTAAGATTGTATATTTAGTTCAAATAAATGCCATAATGCAAATATATTTTAAGTGTGCATATTTAAAATAAATGTCAAAAGGCATCATATAAATCAAAAAAACATTTTAAATCTGTATACGTATATAAGATAAATGCCATTTATTGCAAAAAATATGTGTGTACTTTTAAAGTAATTACCCTATAATGCATAAAGACATGTTAGTCTGCATATTTATTAAAAACAAATGCTATACAATACAAAGACATTTTAATTGTGCATATTTATCCTTAATAAACCCAATATAATTTATTATATAATGTAAAAGTCTTAAATATCCAAGCATCTTTGGAGGCTGTGCAGACAGCATGAATGACAGGAGTGGGCATATTTTTCACAGCATGTAGAATCATATCAGAGTAACTTGTGATCATTTTGCTTACCGTGGTCTCAAAGCCTGTCTTAGGAACATAACATTTGACAGAAGCATCCTGGCTGTGTTTGAATGTCCAGGGAGGGACTTCCTGGAAGTAACAATCCAAAATGGAGCGCTCTGTGCCAGTGCACTGCACTGAGTTCATGTGGATCGGCCCCGTCCCTGTAAAACAAACAAACAAACAGTAAATGTCACTGGCGCTTCACAAAGTCTCAAATATAAAACAAAATAACAAACACTTGGCCTATTTGAGTACTTTCAGCCACAGAGAACACTAGATACTTTCTAACTGACCCTTTCCTAAACATCGCCTTAAAAAAATGCTGTCCGCCATTTTCACAGACTAAATATTGTTCTTTACTGATGTAAATCTATAGAGGATCACTGTGTTTTCACTCCATAGCTCTGTCACTGGGGCGGTACCTTTTAAAAGGTACTAATATGTACACTTTATGGTAGATTACTTACAAATTGGAGTCTGTTACTGATAATTGCATGACCGAAATCGTAATTTGAAATGTAATCTATTGGATTATACAAATTAGGTAATGTATTCTTACTACTTTTTGATTACCTTTAGATTACTTTTGGCCTTAAATATATTCCATTCTTTGTTATCAGCATCATGAAGTGTATTAAACATTACATTATGCCAAGGTTTCCTAAACTGGAGTTCATGAAAGAACTACAGGGGGTTTGTGGGTTGATGAAATGTTGGAAGACTTTACAAATGTATAAAAGCAAATGTCTAAAATAAAAGTAACTGTAATCTGATTATGAGCATTTTAAAATGTAATAAAATCTAATTACAAGTACATCATTTTTGTAATCTGATTACTTAATCCAGATTACATGTAATAAATTACTAGCACTGCTAATATGCCCATACTTTTAAAATACTGTAGTGTGCTATTTAGGGTTAAATATGGTACAAAGATGTATCTTAATATTTTTGTATTGCATCCTGCCCCAGTGACTGTTTTGTACCTTTTTTTCTGAGAGTGCATCATACACCAGAAGGCCACACATGAATCTGATCAGATCTGTTTATTTTGTAAAATCATTATCATCACATTCTTGAAGTTCTATGGATATAAAAGAGCTTGACTGCATATCAGATCATATCACAGTTCATTTCCCTCTTGTTTACTGTGGCATAAAAACATTGGTTGTTCCAGCCTGAGTAAATCAGAGCCTAACGTGAGCATTGTGCTAAAACTTCAGCTATAAATCTCACAAGGATGTGAAATCAACTACACAGCATAAATATACCACAGCAACATTAACATTAACAGTTTTTCCCAATTTCAGAAATACATGCTGGGGAAAATAAGGGTAAATGAAGTAGAAAGCTGCATGTACTGCTGTGGAAAAACAGTGGTTACGTGCTACTGCACTGTGCTCGGCTAAATTCAAAAAGTCCTATTTCTACCAGAGCAAAGAAATCATGACCAGCTGTTTAGTTTTGAAACAAAAATGATAGAGCCCAAAAGCAAACACAGCACCCTATTCAGCCTCGCTTCTGGGAAGCAAATTGCTAGAGATTGGCTAAAACCCTGAGGGTTAATATGGAAATGTTCCCTCACAGAGAATATTACATATAATCAAGGATGTAATCAAAGATTAGGGGCCGAGCAAGAAAGTTAAGCGTCACTGAAAAACCCATTGATTGACTAAAAAAAAAAAACAGACATGCATGAAACATATTTTTTTCACTTTTTCTTGTTAACAGCATGATTCGAACTTAAATGACTCAATCAAATCTTTTCCTCATTGTGTCGTGTGCTACTACACTTAAAATGTAAATATCAGTACATCCTGACATTCAGCAAGGCTACATTTATTTGATTAAAATATGATAAAATGAAATATATGATTACAATTTAAAATAACTGTTTTCTATTTTATTATATGTTCAAATGTAATTTATTCCTGTGATATAAAGCGGAATTTTCAGCAGTCATTATTTCCGTCTTCAATGTCACATGATCCTTCAGAAATCATTCTAATATGCTGATTTGGTGCTCAAAACATGTCTTATTATCGATGTTGAAAACAGTTGTGATATTATTATCAATGTTGAAAACAGTGTTGAAAACAATGTTGAAAAAAAATTATATTTTGTGGAAACTGACATTATATTTCAGGATTCTTTGATGAATAGAAAGAGCATCATCGTTTATTTAAAATATACATTTTTTAACATTAGAAATGTTAGTGTTTACTGTCACTTTTGATCAATTTATGCATTTTAGCACTTAAAATGCATTTTACAAAAAATTAAATTTCTTTAAAGAAAAAATGTAAATATAAATCTCAGTATAAATACAAAAACAGTGTATGCACAAAACGACAAGTAAATAACAGGAAAACAGAAGCAAAGACTAAGTAGTCCAGAAGTGGCTGATGGAAAGGGAGAGGTTCTGTGACCGACTGCACTGAACAGTTTCACTAGAGTGTGGTTTACAGAAAATTGACATTTTTTTCTCCCTAAAATAAAACAACATATATATTCCGCATTAATGGTGTTTTCCTTTCATGGGATGACTATAATCCCTATTTTAGGAGCAGATTAAATTGCTATATAAGAAATATTTCTCTCAGCCAAGTGCAATGTCAGCATCAGTTCGAAGCCAGAGGAAAAACTCAGTGACTGCTGCATACAAAAAGAAAAGTCTATGCTATACGTTTTGCCTGTAAAGTGTGAACGTGACTTGGAATTCCTCATCTATAGTGTCTAACTGAAGTAAAACTGGCTGATACAGCATTCAAACAAATCTCAAGACATGAAGTCATCTAGGTACTTCAGGAAAGAGGTTTACTTTCATCTTACTGGGAGGTCAGGCTTAGAGAACGTCTCAGCAGAATGTGTTGCTTCACGCTGCTGCATTGGCTTAAAAAACATCTACATTGTCATACAGAGTTCATGCCAACTCCATGATCAAACTCAAAAAATCCACAATACAGCCACAATGACAACACATCTTCAAGCATATTAAAGGGATAGTTAGTTCACCCAAAAATAAGAGTAAATAATGACACAATTTAAAAATGTAAATGACAGATTTTTCAGTTTTAGATGAATTTTCTCTTTATGTTACATTAAATGTCTGGAAAATCAGGCAGTGCAATGAACACTGTACCAACACCATTATTCAGGATCATTTCTAAAAGTGGTAACCACAGTCTGGTACGTGTAGCCCATCTCAACAGATTTCCTATTTTTACCACCTGTCCCAAACAGTCCAGCTCTGTTCTGTCATTGAAAAGCTAATTTGTGTCTCTCTTCACTCACTATATGTTTTTGTGGCCTCGGCTGCACTAGGAAAATTATGCACGACAATAAATATACCTAAAGACCTCAACGATACGGGCGTGCAGAAATCATAAGCTTTGATCTCTATTCCTGTTACTTCATCCAAATTGCTAAATTCAGAAATCAGCAAGTGGAGTCACTTTCTAAAATATTTGTCCATCACACCTTGGTTGAATTGAGAATTTATTCCAACCAAAACTATTTCTTAATCACCAATAAATTGTAATTTGCATTATTTGTTTTATTTAAAATGTATATATTTTTGTCTCAACGAGAGTTATTCAGCTGTTATAGCACTCACATGGTCTACCTGATATAAAAAATAATCCAGTCACAAAAATTTTAGATTCAAATTTTTTAGTCTTACATATTCCAAAATTTGTGGTCAGTAATATATTTTTATGTTTCTTAAAATAGTCTCTTATGTTCACCAAGCCTACATTTATTTGACCAAAAACACAGTAAGAATAGTAATATTGTGAAATATTTTTACAATTTAAAATAGCCTTTTCTATTTTAATATATAATTTTCAGCATCATTACTCCAGTCTTCAGTGTCACATGACCTTTTAGAGATCATTCTAATATGCTGATTTGATTATTATTATCAATAATGAAAACAGCTGTGCTGCTTAATTAAGAAAAATAAAGATTCTGTGATTAATAAAATATTGTGAGGTAAAATAGTGTCATAAAATTGAAATATTTTGTAATATTACAAACGTTCACCTTTGATCAATTTAATGCATCACTGCTGAATAAAAGAATAAATTCCTTTAAAAAAAAAAAAACTTACTGACCGCCAACTTTTGAATAGTAGTGTAGCTTGCTTACTACAAGAAATAAACTTAAAAGTTGTTCAAGCTAACAGCCACTATGGTTGCTTTAAACTGAAATTTAAAAGTAGCATTTCTAATAAAATGATCAGCCAACAGGCAAGTAACACAAAGACTGCTTGTACTTACAGTATTTGGCACTTGGCAAGTTAAACTGAGACCTTGACTGGACTATTTCAAAACATGAAAGCATCAATCTTACGCTGGTTCATTTCAAGTGTCTGGACTCTCATATGGGTCACTACCGGTGCAGTACAGCATATATATTTCAAAATAACAGGCCCCTAAAATCATCATTATCCATAAATCAACATGTCATTCTTTCACTTCTTTGAATGGTGGCACCTGATAAAACATAAAACATTTATGAGTCAAACCCCTTTTCACTTCCTTTCTTTAAATAAAAACTGTGAAACATTGCAGCTGTATTTTTCATCAGAGCAATATTGGGAAGTCTTCAATAAATAGCTACTGTCAATTATCCCATCTTGTCAGATTGGACCGATTCCCCTTGGAATACAGATCAGCGGTGAGCTTTGTTTCACTCAGCCAAAGTAAACTCACATGCAGTGTGGATCTGAGCCACAGAAAGTTCAGGGAAAGTTCCTTGCCTTAAAGCATCATCACTGATGTGGAATTCATGTTTTGCACCTGGAGAGTGTGATATCGCATTATGTAAAACATAATCTCTGACCGGTTTCATATTCAGCTGCAGACAGGCGTATCCTATAGATAAGCAGTGCTTACAAATTAAGTTCAGACTCAGACTACTGTGGAATCATATGGAAAACTCAGTATGATCATAAACACGTTCGTAGTTATGAATCACCTTCTTCCTATAAACACCATATTGACTCAAAGCAGATTAAGGAACAGGTCATCAAAGAATGAAAATTCTATCTTTTACTCGCCCTCATGGGATCATTCAAGCTTAAATTAATTCTCACCTTGACCCATGTATGCTCCGGTAAGAGCCTCTTTGGCAGTGCCGAAGCCCAGCTCTCTGCACACCACGCTGGCTGAGATCCGGTCCCACCGGTGGTCAACCACGGTTCCCCACTTTCCCTCACGGAGAACCTCGACTCTTCCTTCTCCCAGACGTGGTCCTGCCTTCAGACGCACTGACAGCTATGAGATGGGAAGAAAGATTGGCAAGGTTACATTTTCAAGTACTAGGGTTTTAACCACAACAGACATTTGGGGAGCACCAGTGGGGTACATGCCTTCCCCAATCTGCAGATTAGCGGTCGACAAATATGGGTTTTCATAGACTGATTCTTACATAATATTAGCCCCAACCCTAAATATGTGGTTATAGCTTTGCAAACTGCTAAGCCTAACTCTAAAACACTACATTATTTAAACCCCCCAAACAGTAAGGTTCCTATACATAAAATTAAATACTTTATGGTAGCATCGCTCAGTTTCAGTGTCTCTTGTTAAAAAAGAAAACTAAACTAAACTTAAAAATCACTAAATGTAACTGAAAAGAAATGTAACTCATGACATTTGCAGTAAAAATGCAGTAAAAGCTGTAAATATTGTGAAATATTACCAATTATAATAACTGTTAATTTGCATCACTTGAAACCGAAATAATTCTAATATGCTGGTTTGGTGCTAATTAAACATTTTTTAAATTAAATTATTATCAATGCTGATGAACAGAAAGTTAAAAAGCACAACATTTATTTGAAATAGAAATCTTTTGTAACAATCTAACAATCTGTGAGCAGATTTACTGTCACTTTTGATCAAATGAATGCATCCTTGCTGAATAATAGTAATAATTTACTTAGAAAAAATAAACTGACTCCAAACCTTTGAGCAATGGTGTATATGCCTGTTCTATTTCTAATTCTATTATATGCAAGACATCAGGGTTTAACAGGGTTGAAGATCAGTGCAAAAAGTCAAAAATCATAACACATTATTTACATTCCTTATGTTGTGTGCCAAGAACAGTATTTTTTCTTTAAAGCTTTTTTAAAAGTATGATATTTTAATTTCAGTAACAGCATAATGAGGGTCGTATTTGATTCTAGTGATTATTTGTGGGGGTTTGGTTGATTGGTTGGTTGAATGATTTTTTTTGTCATTTATTTTACTTTTTTAATCGGTATAACCCATTAAAATGTAATTATGATGACTGATAAACTTTTTTTATTAAAAAATATAAATATTTCATTTTTGCCAGTCATTAAAGCCAGTCATTAACTGAATAACCAAAATGTTTTTAGGATTACCTCTGCAGGGTGAGGTGCCTGGGGTCTGCCAGAGGACATACGAGCAAACTGTGGTCCTGGGACACAGCGGGCCACTGCATGGCGACCGTTCTTACAGGGGCCCGGGTTTCGAGGGATTGATAGCTGGGCATGACACTCCGCCAGACTCGGCTCTGTGCCCAGGCAATGTACTTTCTCAACCCAAAATCCCTTCTTCTTGGTCATCTGACTCAATCTAGGAGACATTATGTCACAAGAGCAGTGGTACATTAAGAGTTCAATTAAGAGTACAAGAAGATGCTCTGATGTGTGGTAAAGCAATATGTTAAGTGCCAAAGAAGAGTCAACTGAATTCACCTTGTTGTTGAATCCTTGACTTTCTTATCCCATATTTTTCTGTAAATTAAAAAAATAAGAACATTTTAAAAGTTGAAAAGAGCTGAGAAAGAATGTGCAATTTATGGTGCTGTTCCTCCAGACTGACCAGCAAAAATAACAATATTACACTGGCAATAAAACAATATAAATGTACAGAAAGCCATAGGCCACATGAGGTTTTATCATTAGCAGGCAGTTAAAACTCACTGTTCCAGATCTTCATTACCATTTGTGTCTTTATTCAAGATAATGCTACAGTCAGCACTCCAAACTAAAGTTTCATCCATTTACATTGCTTTTTTATAATAATAAAAATGTATGGCCCACAGACTGAGACATCAAAGAACATACACATATGTTTTAACTTAAATCTACCACTAAACTGGCTTTCAAATATGTACATTCTATAAACAGATATTTCCACTGGCATGCTGGTATCCCAGAATGGGCACAGCAAGACTTCCCATAAAACAAACTGAGACAAACTTATACTCAGAATGACAGAGAGACAGAGAGAGAGAGATCCACCCAAGAACACCTGCCCTCTATAACACACCTGTGACACATGAAATCATCACTGTCATCATCACCATCTGTCCAGCTAAATGTGGTAGTTACAGAGGATTTAGCCTGGTAACCCATGGGATATATGTTTAACACACTACTTTTATTTTGCTGAATCTGTTTTTCTGACTGCTCTCTAAAAAATAGTTTATCAAATGCACTTTTAAAATAGGAAAATTAAATAAAAAATGTATACAATCATTCTCCTGATAGAGCTGTCTTAATGAATGAATTTCAAAAGAGAATATCAGTCAACAGAAAAGCAACCAAATTTAAATGCTGTGTGGAATCTCCAGTTTAATGACCTCATACAATATTCTGGATGTTTCTACCATATGACACTCTGTAGCACAGTAACATTATAGTAGATCTAAAGCTGCAGAACTGCAGCCTAAAAATGATCATTTACAGCTGTCATGCCAATAAATAAATAAACTTATTTGATGCATATAATTTGTTTTTTTATTTTTTTATTTTATATACCAAGTTGCTCTTTTATATATCAAATGTGCCGCTCTGAATGTGAAGAGATATTTCAGACAATACCAGTCTGTTTTTTCATTTGTTCTTACAGTTGCTGGCACTGAAATACCCACCTGCTCATGTAATTAGTCCAAGAGTTCCACCCTTGGTTTACTGCTGA